ACCCCATTCTTCTTCCTTCTGGGGCTCTCAGTCTTAGGGGCTTCTTTTGGAGGGCAATTTGAAGGGCCAAGGGGATTTGGCATGAGTGGGGAGACTGGCCCGGCATCCCTTCTGCTGCCTTTTTTGATAATAGCAGCTGCCTTTGAGGGATCTGCCCCCTCCAGGGAGTTTCTGTGGGGCTGCTAGCCTCAGGGCCCTGCCCCAACCACCACAGGGGACACCCAGGCCTAGCCGGTCATCGTACCCAGGTCCCCAGACACGATCACCGACCCAGGTCGGGCCATGTGACCGAGGAAAGACCAATGAGAGCCCTTTCCCTGGGATTTGAGAGGTTCAGAGGGAAAAAAAACTCTTTCCTCTGGGATCCTCAAGCTAGAGCGCTAAATGCCCGAGGCCATCTGCACACCTCCTCATGGAAGGAGCCTGTGGATGTAGAAGAGCCAAGAGACAGGTGGGCTGTCCAGGGGCATGGGGTGTGGGGAGAGAACAAGAGAGAGCAAGAGAGAGGGGTTTCCTGTCACAGGAGCAAATACATTGCTTTTGCTTGAGCTGCTGTGAGTCGGGCTTCTGTCACTCACACCCGAAAGAGCCCCAGATAATCCTTGCCTCAGGGTGGACAGGAACCTGGGCCTGGTGCACAGGAACACCCTTGCCTGATGCTAAGCACTCTTCACGGTCTCTCCCTCAGAACCGCCCCCAGAGGCTGTGCCACCCTTTCCCACACTTGTGTCAAGCTCACAGACCCACCTGTGCTTCCTCAACTGCTATCTGCTTGGCTGAGAAAAGGGAATTCATCAGCTCTCCTGCACTCTGCCCCCACTTTCCTCCACAGCTGCCCCCCTGTCCTGCCTTCCCTCTGTGTCCCTCCTCTGCCCCTTGCCCACAGCTGACCAAGAGAGCTGGAGTCGGAGGGCTCAGCGCCAGTGGATCCCAGGCCTGCCTGTACATCAGAATCACCCGGGAAACTGGAAACATACCCTTTCCCAGGTTCCATCAGATTCTCGGCAGGCGGGCCCTGAAACTATAATTTTAAAACATCTTCACTCGTTATGGCAAGGAAGGTTACCTTCTTGGTTGGGTGGGTCAGTCTTGGCTTGATCAGCATTTGGTCCTTGTAGGCAAGGACACCTCAGGGTTCCTCACAACAGGATGTGGTTCATTTTGTTGCTCACATGGAGACCCTGCAGAGAGCCCCTTTTAACTTCCCACCATCTTCTCAGAACCCCTTGTGATCTGAGCTTCTCTTTGGCCCAATCTTCCCTTGGGTGTGGGGGCCTCCCAGACTCCAGACCAGACCACCCATGCCTTAAAACCTTGTCCTCCCTGCTCCCCGACCTCCTCCGCCCTTCCTCCATCTCCCCACCTCTCTGCTAGCTTCTTCTTGGTCTCCCTTTCCTTCTTGGTGCTGTGTCCTCCTGACTGGGCAGTTCTTCCCAGGGTGCCCTGCAGGGCGGGTCATTCTCTGCAGTGGATGTGGGTGGCCGCCGAGGACCAGAGGTAGGCGAGGATGGTAGGCTTCACCCCACAGCTCCTCACCAGATGGTCTGTTACAGCGAAATCAGTGCTACCCCACTTAAAGCATCTAGTACCACGAAGCACAGAACAGATTTCCCAGCAGACCCCCCTCTCCTTCCTGTGCGGGAAAGCTGCTCTCTGGGTGGATTCAAGGACGTGATGGCCCACGACCGGCTAACCCTCCAGTCGGGTCATTGTGCGGGGCAACCGGGACCAATTAGAGAAAGTTCTGGACCCAGGGTACTGCTCTGCTGGGTTGCTAGACTTGTTCAGGCACGGGGAGAGGGGACTGTGCAGTCTGTCTTGCCAAGCACACATCTTCAGGGACACTCTTTTCACTAAAGAGGGACTTCCGACACTCCACTGCCAATGAGCAGGCCCTCTGCGAGTGTAGACGGCCACACTGGAAGCCCAGGCCATAGCGGCCCATGTCGTGTAACTGCCCTGGCGTGTAGGCGTCTCCTCAGGGTCTTTAAGTACTCAACTGAGTCCCACCCCACACTCACCAACATGGCCTGCCGCACTGATGTGACTATAGCCAGGGGCAGCTCTCCACCCCACAGCCACCGCCCCGCTCACACCCGGTGAGCCTCAGGTGCTCTGGGGCCCAAGTCAGCCCTGCTTTGGCCAAAGGCTGGCCCAAGGCAACCTCTGACCTTCCAGCCACCCACACCCCACCCCTTCCCCGTGAAAGGCCACACTGTGCTAGCGTCAAACCAGCAGGGTCTGGATTCCAACCAATTCTAGAGGGTTGGTGGGGCAGCTATGTGGGAACAGAGATGGAGAGAGGGACACGGGAGAGGAACAAGGGAGCAGGGATGGGAAGGGGGAGGGAAGGGGCCCAGGAGGTGTGGGGATAGGCGGGGAGACTGAAGGAAGGGAAGCTTCTGGGAGGAAGGAGAGCTCCCTCTCCCAGGGCAGCCCGGCAGCCTGAGAGAAAGAGGGGATAACCGGTGACAGTGACCTGGAAGCCACCACTGCTTGGGACTCTGGCCTGCCTCTGCCTACCCAACTACTCTTCCCATTCCTCCGCCCTCCCTCCAGGCTCCAGACAGACCACTCCCCACACCCAGCCCCACCCCAAACCCCCACCTCCTGGGATCTGAGGTCCTGCAGCTTCCTGGCGCGCAGCGGGACAGGGACAGATTCCATCTGCAGCAAGACCGCCCCCTCCTCAGGGGCCTTTGCTCAACCACCCCAGCTGTGGCCTGTGGCTTGAGATAATGAGCAGGAATCCACCGGGGCTCTGCCCGCCCGGACAGGTGGATGAGCCTCAGAGTGGTCCTGATAGGGCCCGGCCCAAGCACCCTGCAGGGGAACCTGTCAGAGTGACAGTGAAAACTGACCAGGCTCTGGCCTGGCGCCCACATCCCCCACCCCCACACCACAGTCAGGGACTGAATCCTTAATTTTCATCCATTTCCCCAGGCCCAGTTCCACCTAGGCACAGATCAAATGAATCCATGATGACAAACTCTTCCTCTAATGCACGCGATTCCACTGGCAAACCTTCAGTTGGCCTTTAGCAGCTTCCCCCTTTACCACCTCCTTGAGCCCCGGTGGGTTCTGGGACCTTTGGGTTGGGTCAAATATTAACAATCATAATATCAACAGCAGCCAACGTGTCATAATACCACCATGTAAGAGACACAAGTCTACGCACTTCGTGTGCGTCATCCCATGTCACCCTGTACTAGCAGGAAATTGAGGTCTCAAGGGGATTAAGCCACCTGCCCCTACTGACAGCCCGGAAGTGCAGAGCCCTGACCCAACCCCCAGGCCCCTAGAGTCTCCAACCTGGGCTCCAAAGCCCTTCCCCGGGGGCACCTGAGGAAACCCCACAGCTTCTGGGTGAGGGGTCAGTGCTGAGGCCTGGTGGGATGTTCTCAGCCAGGCGGGCCTGGCCCTCTCTCCCAGCCACGCTTGCAGGGTGAAGGGGGAGAAGCCGGAAGCCTGGGCAGTGGAGTGAAGTGCCAGTGCCCTGTGGGACAGGTGGCCAGGGGGGTTGCAGGTGGCCTCAGAGGCAGGCAGCCAAGCCAAGGGGGACTTTGGTCTTCCGGTCAGACCTTCCTCCAGTGCTGGTACTGGGGAAGGGCCATTAGAAAGAGCACTGGCCCCAGGGTTCTCCTCTGGAATTCTGCCTGGAAGAACTTTCACTTTCCCTGATTAGAGCTTACAACAACATCCCAGTAGCAAATTCTACCGGTCCTGGGGCCCAGCTCAGTAGGAGCAGCCTCATTAGGCTTCCTACCACCGGCCTCTGCACTCGGGGACCTCCTGACCTCCCTAGGGACCCCTTAAGAGGAAAATACCTCCCTGTCACTGCTCTCCTCCACGGGCTCAGGGTCTGCCTGGCTTTGAGACCTCGCCCACTGGGCTTTCCCTGCCCCCTGGGCACCTCTATTTCCTCCTCTGTAAGATAGGAATAATAATAGTATGTGCCTCTAGGATTAAGTGATTCTTGTGTGAGCCTAGAATCGTGCTTCACATAGTGTAACTGCTTGATGAATGTTAGCTGTTATTTACTGGACTGTGAAATGCTTCCATTTCAATTCTCTGGGTATTTTTGAGGTCCTCCTGTCAGCTCAGTAATGGGACCTCAACATGGAACAAAACTACAACAGACACATGGACCACAGCCAAACCCGCAGAGCTTTTTACCAGCTAGAGGATTCTGGAAGTCACTTGGATGGAAACACCCATCACCCCAGATCCTGCTGGGCCCAAGTTGGCCCTCTGTGTTATACGTCTGCCTGAGCCCACTCCCCAGGAATGGCTGGGTCCCGCACACACACAAGCAGATTAATAAAGGCAGGGGACAAAAAGGGTTTTGAGTGAAATATTTGTTGAGGGATGAAAAGAGAGGAGGTCGCCGCCCAGCAAGCAGGCCTTGCCTTGGTAGTGAGGAGGGCCTCCAGTTGGGGGCACAGAGAAGGCTTCCAGAGCTGTGGCCCCTGACACAGGCAGCCCAGCCTCCTCAGGGCCTCTTTCCCCAGGGACATTGCTCCCCCAGTCCCCCTTCCCTGCAGACCAGCCCTAGGTAGCCGGCCCAGGGGCCCCAACAGCGCAGTGCAGGGAGGTCGGCCTGGGAAGGGGAAAAGGGAAGAGGGCAGAGGGAAGCGGGGGGCGGGGGGGGGGGGGGGGGAGAGCAAGCCCTCTCCTCCTCTGCCTCCCCCACCACCGAAAAGTCCCGAATGGGGCCAGAGGGAGATGGTGGGGACCTGGGGGCGCATGGAAGGTGGGCGGTGGGTGGTGTCCCGGTTACACGCATCCAGAGGGGCCAAGGACCCCAGGGAAGCTCGTCGGGGGAAACCGGGTCCTCGGGAACGGGAGTGACCCTCGTGGGCTCCGAAGTCCCGACTGGGCCACTCCGGATCGGGCCTCGGGTTCCGCCTCCGCGAAATGGGCCACTGGCGCTGGCCGCGGTGCGGAACGGCTGGCCGCGCGGCCGAGGGGCTGGAGGGCCGGGGGCGCCGAAGGGGTTAACGCACCTGGGCCGCTGCGGCCCCTGCCGGCCCCTCCTCCGGCCGCGGGGAAGAGGAAAGTCGCGGCGGGGGCGCGGCCCAGCCTTCGCTCCCGCCCGCCTCGTCCCGGTCCCCGCCCGCCGTCCCCGAGCCGCGACGCCCAGAGCTGCGACCGGCGCGCCCTGCTCCGCCGCCGCCCGGGCCCGGGCCGCCATGTCTCTATGGTGAGTTGGGGGGGGGGGCCGGGGCGAGGGGCGCGGGGACCCCCGGCTCCCTCCCCCAAGGTCGGGGGACGCACGGGCGTGTGGGGCGCCGGGCCGCTCCCGGGGACCGGAGGATGCGCTGGGTGCCCTGGGCTGGCCTCAGTTTCCCGGGACGGACGGGCTCGGAGGCGGCGGTCGGGATGCCCGGCGGTGCGCGGCGCCCGAACCAGCCGGACCGGGCCGGGTCCCGCGGGGCCCGTGCGCGCTGCCCTCGCCGGCGGCGCTCGGGTCCCCTGGGCCCGGGCCCCGAGGCACCCTGATCCCATTCCGGGACCCAAGGGCTCTCCTTCCTTCGGGGGAGTTAGAACCTCCAGTCCCCCCACCTCTCCCCCTCTCTGCTTTTCCTTCCTCCCCTGCGGGACTTTTGTCCAGATGGACAGGGACGGTGCAGGTGGACCGGCCTGGAGCGGAGAGACACTCCCGCCGCATCTCCCTCCCCTGGGGTGACCCCCGCGGGACTTGCCCCAGTCCGGACCTCCCCAACTGGGGGGAAGGGGTGCTTCGCTGAAACTCCCAGGGCAGGAGACCCTGACCCGGAACATTCTGCTTTCCCCTTTGGGAGGGTCGAGTCTCCCCCCACTCCAGCACCTGGGGTGACCCACTCTTCTTCCCACCGCATACACAGGAAACCCTGGGACCCCACGGGAAAATGTCGCTCCAGGGGGCTCAACATTCACTTGCCCTGGGTGCCTGCACCTTCAACCAGCCAGTCCTGAGAACCACCCCAGCCTTCTCCAGACTCCCTGTGATGTGCATTGCAGTCTGTTTCTTCCCTGGCCCTGCAGCTTCCCCCTGGAAGTCGGGGTTGTCTCCCTCTTGGCCTGGCCCTGTGAGGCCACACTTCTAGCCTGCCTGTTCCCCAAGAACCCTCACCCCCTGTATCTCCACAAGAGAGATCTGGGCAGGAGACCTGGCCACCTCCAGAGTGTGACCCGAGAGAGGGTCCTGGGCCGCCCCCCCCCCACCTCTGCCCTGGGTCTGCCTGCACCTCCTGCAAAAGGCTTTAATTTCTGCTTCTGAAATGGGTGTGGTAGGGGCTCTCTGGGCAGGGAGGGTCCCTGGAGAGGGGGGGTCTGAATGTGTACCCTTCCCAGGGCAGTAGACCTGGGGGACCCTCTCTCTCCGAGCGGGAGAGAGTGGGGCCCAGACTGAGGAGAGTGGTAAGAGAGCGGCGGTCATGCTAGGAGACGCCCGCCCCCTTCTCAGGCCTCCATCAGCCTTGTGAGCAGTTTTGCACTGGGTCGGATGGATGGGGTGAAAGCAGAAGGGACAGGCTTCAGGTCCCACATTATTGCCTCTGTCCAGTGTCCCCCACAGGTTACTGAGCTCCCAGACTGTAAGAGCAAGTGCTGTGTGTGCCCCGCCTCATGGCTCACCCCAGTGGTTCACCAGGTTTGCACAGGGAAATGAAAACAAACAGGGTGGCTTGCTGGGCTTGGGGAACAGGCAGAAATCTCCACCAGAGGTCGTCCTTACAGACTCACGGCATTCCCCTGACTGCACACCCACTGCGAGCCGGACTCCTTAGATAGTGTTCCGATTCCTTGTTATCTTCATTGAGGAGAAGAAGAAATCACGGTTTGGAGACCTTAAGGCGGGGGGGACCCACTCAAAGTGGCAGAGTCAAGATTTAAACCTGGGCAGCCTGACTCTGCAGGGCTTGCGTGGGTCCCCTGGTCCTGGCAGAGGCAGGGCAGGGCAGGAGAGGAAGCAGGACCCTCCTCTGACCACTCAGGGGCCGCAGGACTTGAGTCTGTGTCCCCGGCAGCTCCGAACAAGTCACAGAGGGCTCATCCCTTCCTCTCTCCTCTGTACCACCCTCCAATCCCACCCCACCCCCCAGGAAGAAAACCGTCTACAAGAGCGTGTGCCTGTCCCTGGCCCTGCTTGTGGCCGTAACAGTATTCCAGCGCAGTCTGACCCCCCACCAGTTTCTGCAAGAACCCCCGCCGCCCACCCGAGAGCCACAAAAGGCCCAGAACCCAAGCGGACACCTAGTGAACCCCAACAGCTTCTGGAAGAACACCAAGGATGTGGCTGCCGCCACGCCCATGGCCCCACCAGGGCCCCAGACTTGGGACATCAGCTCCACTAACTGCTCAGCGAATATCAACGTGACCCAGCAGCCCTGGTTCCAGGGCCTGGAGCCCCACTTCCAGCAGTTTCTGACCTACCGTCACTGCCGGTACTTCCCCATGCTGCTGAACCACCCGGAGAAGTGCCGCGGCGCTGTCTACCTGCTGGTGGTGGTCAAGTCGGTCATCACGCAGCACGACCGCCGCGAGGCCATCCGCCAGACGTGGGGCCGGGAGCAGGAGTCGGGGGGCGGCGGCCGCGGCGCCCTGCGCACCGTCTTCCTGCTGGGCACGGCCTCCAAGCAGGAGGAGCGTGCGCACTACCAGCAGCTGCTGGCCTACGAGGACCGCCTCTACGGCGACATCCTGCAGTGGGACTTTCTGGACAGCTTCTTCAACCTGACCCTCAAGGAGATCCACTTCCTCAAGTGGTTTGACATCTACTGCCCCCACGTCCAGTTCATCTTCAAGGGCGACGACGATGTCTTCGTCAACCCCACCAACCTGCTCGAATTTCTGGCTGACCGGCAGCCTCAGGAAGACCTGTTCGTGGGCGACGTCCTGCAGCGCGCTCGGCCCATCCGCAAGAAGGACAACAAATACTACATCCCGGGGGTCCTGTACAGCAAGGCCAGCTACCCCCCGTACGCGGGCGGCGGCGGCTTCCTCATGGCGGGCGGCCTGGCCCGGCGCCTGCGCCGAGCCTGCGACACCCTGGAGCTGTACCCCATCGACGACGTCTTCCTGGGCATGTGTCTGGAGGTGCTGAGCGTGCAGCCCACGGCCCACGAGGGCTTCAAGACTTTCGGCATCACCCGGAACCGCAACAGCCGCATGAACAAGGAGCCCTGCTTCTTCCGCTCCATGCTGGTGGTGCACAAGCTGCTGCCCCCCGAGCTGCTGGCTATGTGGGGGCTGGTGCACAGCAACCTCACCTGCGCCCGCAACCTGCAGGTGCTCTGACCGCAGCCAGACCGCCGGGAGAGGCGGGGCCACGGGTTCTTGAGCCCCAGGCAGGCTGGACAGAGACCTTGGGCCTCCCCCTCCCCCGCAACAGGGAGGTGTGTGTGGGGGGGGGGGGGTTGGAGCTTTGTGTGGCCCCAGGGTGTGATGGGGTGCAGTTAGCCAGAAGGGGGCCTCCCTGCGTGGACATTACCCAGAAAGTGGAGCTGAGGCCCGGGAACCTTTGTAACTGCCCCGCCTGCGGCAGGTTGTCTTGGGAGCAAGGCCCGCGGCCACTCGTAGCCCTCCTAACCTGGGTTCCCTGCTTGGGTCCCTGTGACCTGGTGGGAGGCCCTGGTGGCCTCTGAAGGAACCCCGTGCTCAGGTACCCGGGTTAGGCCTGGCCCTGGATGGGTCAGGGGTGGCCCTCTTGTCTTCGCAGAGAAGATTCTCCTCCCTTGAAATGCCTCAGTCTCCCCCCACGGGCCCAAGCAGCCCTTTCAGGAGAAGCTCAACCCTGTGCAGGCTCACAGGCCCCCAAGGTCCGTCCCCCCTCCCCCCCAAGCCCGCGCCCCTGGGTCTCCAGGAGATGGAAGCCTCTCCAGGAGGCCCTCAGCACCACCCCCGCCCCCAGACCTGGAGTTGCTGCCCGGTCTCTGCTCGCAGGTGGCTTCACTCCTGGCTGTGTCTGGAAGCACGGCTGGCCGCCCCGACTACCTCAGCAATGCCCAGAACCTCCGGATGGGCTGCAGCCCCGCCCCGCACCCCGACATAGGGCTGGGGAGCAGTGCTCCAGTCCCCGCAGTCACAGTGCTACCCAGCCGCCGAGGGCCTCGTGCGGCCCCACCGAGGCTGGCTCCCCAGCCGGAAAGCAGCCGGTTTGGCCCTGAGATGGACATTCCTCTATTACTGTGAAGTTTTATTTATGAAGAATTTGGAGGGAGAGAGTGCCAGGCCTTGGGAGATCGTGGTGGTCTTTCTTTCCCTTCCCTCATTCCAGCAAGATACCAGCTCCCTCGGCCACTCACCCCCCACCCAGGGCACCGCCATGCCTGTTTCAGTCCCCCTCCGGAACCCTGCCTTCCCTGCCTGCCTACTTCTCCAGGGCCTGAGCAGACCAGCATGGGCCCCTGTGAAGGGATGGAGTGAACCCTCAGGCGTCCTTGGCAATGGGTACAGAAGGATGCCACCTCATATCAGGGTGGAGGCACCTGGGGAAAGATTGAGGGATCAACACTACTTTCTCAATAAAAGGGGGCTGGTTTTTCTGGTGTGCGACTTCCTGTCACCATTTCCATCAGAGAGAGTCTGGGGCCGGGGTTGCCAGAGATTTCTGAAGACACAGCTTATTCCCTTGCTCTTGGCTGGTGGGTGCACAAGGATGCTTGAAGAGCTTTAGAGGGATGCGGGTGCCAGGATTAAAGCAGAAAGCACAGGGGCCAGAGTCTAGAGCTGCCCCCTGGAGGAGGTGGTGTGGGGGAGAAACATGGTGGCTAACAGTACATTCCCATGAGCCTGATGTTAACGGTGGGTGGGGGTATGCAGGGGCCAATGGGCTCCCTGATGTCCCTTCAGTCAACCTGGATGCATTGATAAGGTTGGCAAGAAGCACTGAAACAGTGGCTCAGTGGGGTCCAGGGTTGGGGGTCCAGGGGAATGCCGTGTATGGGGCACCTCGGCCTAAGTTGCTTACCTCCAGCGTGGGGAGAACAGCCATCGCCCCAAGAGTCATTGGGGCCAGAAGTGAGCAAGCCAGCAGCTCCCCGCCTGCGCCCAGCTCGAGGCATCACGGAGTAGGTCAGATGCCCCCACATGTCTACCCTGGGCCTCTCCTCCGGGGAAGTGAAAGGAAGGGCTGGGTCCTCATATAACGCAATATCTTAGAGGACAGACAGGGGCACGAGACTAAATGGGTGTCCCTCGTGGCCCCAGCTGCCCGGGTCCAAGCCCTAAGAGAAGGGAAAAGGTCACTGCTGCTATTCCTCGTCAGCACAGATCTCCCCACGTCTCCCCTCTCTGTTGACCAGCTAGGTAATTTGAAGGGCCCAGTGCAAAATGAGCAGGGCCCCTGGTTTTAGAAAGTTATGAATTTCAAGATTGGCGCAACAGAGAATTTTTTTTTTTTTTTTTTTGCCAGAGAGAGAGAGAGACAGCGCACAAGCAAGGGAAGTGGCAGGCAGAGGGAGAAGCAGGCTCCCCTCCAAGCAAGGAGCCCGATGTGGGACTCGATCCCAGGACCCTGGGATCACAACCAGAGCCAAAGGCAGATGCTTGCCCGACTGAGCCACCCAGGTGTCCCGTCACAGCAGAGAATTAAACTGAGCACACAGCCCTCTGAGCACAGGTCACAGACCCAAGTTGTCAGCCTTGTTTGTCCCTCTCACCCCGTGAAGCCAGGGACTCCAGAAAGCAGAGTTGGGACCGTGGGGCTTCTGTCTAACCAGAGCTCAGTCCACAAGAGCAGAGTGGGGGCAGGGGGACACCATCCAGGAGCCCAGGAGGTGGAGGGACCACTGGACAGACGAGGCCTGGGTGGGGGTCCAGGGGCAGCGCTGGGTTCAGCTGTGCCCTGAGGGATGAACGGGCAGGCAGAAGGAAGGGCTTATACGAAGGGCTGGAGGTAGAGAAAGCAGTTGGAATGCTGAAGCAGAAAAGAGCTCCTCCCTGAGGTGGGGGGCTAGGGATGTGTGTGAGAAGGATCAGGAGCCCCTGAGGGAGGCAGGGCCTGCGAGGCCTAGGTTCAGGAAGGTGTTCAGGCTTGATCCTGAGAGAGCAACGGGGCTCACTGGTGTCTCCAGCTGGGCCCCGTGGACTGGGAGCTCTCAGCAGACTGTGCATTCCCAGCGTGGGGACTGCCTCAGCCTCAGCCGTGGGCCCCAGGGGCAGCCTTGCTCCTGATCCCATTTCCTACCTCAGGGGCCCAGGCCTGGGCTGACAGAGCTGGCAGATGAGTGGGGCACCGGCAATTAGCTCAGCAGAAGGAAAGGAGGAAGGTCAGGGAGCCCACCGATAGGAACCAGTGTTAACAGGCCCCCCAGCACAGGGTGAGGAGCAGGCTTCAGCCCTGGGCCTGACGCTGCACCTTTGTCTCAAAGGAGGAGTGGCATTCCTGTGGTAGAAGGGGAAGGAGAACATGTGCCAGGCCAGGAACAGGTGCCACAGCCCAGAAGTGAGTGAAAACAGTGGGGCATCCAGAGGAGGGGCCAGCTGCCTGGTGTGGACGGTGTGGAGATGGGCGGGACAAGGGTGGGGGCATCCTGTTAAAGGGCTCGTCTGCCTAAGGGTTAGGATGCTTCCTGCAGGCACTGAGGACTCATCACCGCTTCCAGAGCCAGGAACAAACAAGATCAGATGGGAACCCTAGAAACATGCCCTTGACCTCAGTCCCCCTTGTGGGGCATAGGGAGGCAGTCAGTCCCAGGCCCCAGGAACCTCAGGCTGGGAACGTGGAACATGGCCCCAAGGCGTCCCCACAACTGGCTCCCCAGCAGGAACAGGGCTTCACAAAAGAAGGGGCTGGTGACTGGGAAAACCTGCTGAGACCCTGCGCACCCTAAGCCAGGTGTCCAGAGGATTGGCCCGGCCCAGAGGGCACCCCAGCTGACCAGCCCTCAGCCAGCTCCTGACCCAGCTCCGGCCCTTTCACCCAGCTGGCCCTCATTTCCTCCATCCGCCTGGGAGTGTAACCTGGCTGCCTCCAAGGAGTGTGACCTTGCCCTTTCCAAGGTCTGCTTTGCTGATCATTTTGGGAAACAGACACAAAGGCCTTTCAGGTCTTACAATCTTGCTTCCCGGTAACAATGATGATAAGGGCCATTTTCTGGAGCTTATTCAATTTGCCTGGCATTTCGCATGTAGAATGGGTATGACCTTCCCTGAGGCTACAAACACAGATACATTTTATGTTTCTCATTGAGTGATGGAGTCTGAGTCCCTCCTGGACCTTTATTGGCAGAAAATTGAAGTAGAACATGACACATCAAAATATGCCTCTTTGGCATGAGAATTATCTTGAGCTGGTTATTTTCCAGCGGACACAGGAGAAGCTCTGAAAACTGAGTTAGATGTGACCCTTTTGTAAAGGACATTTAAAGTTGTACAAGAAATCTCCATTTGGGTGTCCCTCTCTACACCAGGAAGAGGGGGATGGAGAAGCATCAAGGCAGAAGGCAGGGTCTGAAATCTACATAACAACCTTAGGCTTGTTCGCTGTGTTTTCCTGATAACCTCCCATAAGTGACTACCCGCCCCCAACACACACCATCCGCCCCAACATCTTTAATCTTTAGCTGAAGATGGTATTTAGGGTGGTGGCTTTGGCCATTCTGTAGAGTTCGCCTCTGTTTTCCTGGGTCTTTCCCATGCATACAGGAGGTATACATGTGACTAAGCTTCTGTTTGTTTATCTGTCTTTTATTCCAGGGAGGTCTCAGAAAAATTATTTTTTCTCCCTGTTGGAGCCCACTCACTCCCAAGTTGTACAGAACTTCCAGGGCTTCCAAAGTCCCAAATCCACAAATCCAACGACTCTCAGAAAAGCCTGAGCCGTCCTCTTCGACTGTTGCCTGTCCCTCCACACGGTGGCGCTGTGGAACGTGGGCCTGCGCAGTCCCCCGCATTCTTAGATGCTGCCTTCTGGGCACAAGCTGTAGGGGGGCCCACAATTCACACACAAAGAGATCCTTCTCTTAGCCTTGACAATAAATGTTAGTCGGTCCTCAACCTGATCCTAAGGAGCAGGCTGACAGGGTGATGGGTCTCAAACCCTTTTCTCCCCGAAGGCCCTGGGCTTCGAATACGACATAGCTTTCCCTGGTCCCCAGCCACCAGCTCTGCATTCCAAGGGGGTTTGAGAAGGGGTAGCCAAGGGTGCCCATTGGGCCACGTTTACATAACTATACGAGACGACCCAAAGAACCCTAGCCTGAACAAAGAAAGCCTGTTCCCAGGTGACTTGCTCTGTCCACTCGGGCTGAGAAGGAGCAGGGAGAGAAGCTTCTGAAACCCCAATATACACCACGGTCAAGTGAAGAAACCGAGGCTCCCAGGAGAAGGGTCCCACAGCTACT